CCAGTTGATCCACAACTCAAGTCAATCAATGTATCCCTATGTCCCATTACCCTAAGCTCTGCACTTACAGAGGAGCTAGGAGGCTGCTAGGAGTAGCAGGGGAGAAAGTATAGGTCCTGGAATCAGGAAGACTTGAATTCAAATTTAGCCTCAGACACTATCCATAACTTTGGGCAAGTCACTTAACTTCCATTTGCCTCAGTTTCCTTATCTGTAAAATGGGGCTAATAATAGCACCTACCTCCCAGGGTTGTTGTAAGGATCAAATGAGATGATATCTGTAAAGTGCATAGCACAGGGCCTGGCACATAGTAGGTGCCGTAGAAATGTTAGCTATGATGATGATGTTGGTTGCGTCTTGGGAGCTCTTCTAGGATACCTACAGACTGCAGGTCCATAGGAAGGAGTTGATTAACTCCTTTTAGTTCTTTCTCTTTAGGGGAGGAAACTTTCTTCCCTCCTCCCCTTTTTTTCTTTTTCCTTTTTGTTTCCTGGGTTTGGGGAAGACTCTTTCAAGCAGCAAAACAGGCATGAACCTAAAGGAACTTTATACAGTTGTGTGTTGAGAGTGTATATTACCCCCAGGCTCACCCCACTATGGGAAGTCTGGACCCTTACAAAGTATCAATAGACTGGGGGCCATCCAAGAACTGTGATTCACAGACATGCTTGCAGGCCCTTTAGGGGAAATATAAGGCACTGGGGAAGGCATTAAGAAAAGAACACAACTGATCCTAGATTCCCTAAAAACTCCACACTTCTAGTACCTTTGGTATCCTGAGGGATCTCTGATGGGTATGAGTCAGCTTTGGTTCAGGCTCTCTACTGCCTCGAGTTTCCCAAGGCTTAAGATCTCTTCTGTTTCTGAGATGCCAGTGCCATCATATTACTACTATCATGATTTGGTCCCTAGGGGGCTGGACTGAACTCAGTTTCATCACCAACTAACATATCTCAACTTGGCAAGGGTTGAAGCGCATCCATAAAACACCTTGCTAGTGGACCAACCACTTTGCTTACAGTTCCCAGTCTACAAATCCCTGGAAGCTCAAACCCTCTGGTGTTTTTGTTAACCTGAGGCTCAATATTTCAGATGGATCTAGTTATGCAATCAGACATTCAACAGCATGTAATAAGTACTTACTAAATGCCAGGCACTGTGCTAAGCATTGGGGATACAAAGAAAGGCAAAAACTTGTCCTCAAGAAGTTCACATTCTTGGGGCAGCTAGGAGGCAAAGTGGACAGAGCACTGGCCCTGAAGTCAGGAGGACCTCAGTTCAAATCTGGCCTCAGACCAAACACTTGACACTTACTAGATGTGTGACCCTGGGCAAATCCCTTAACCCCAGTTGCCTAAAAAAAAAAGTTCACATTCTCATGGGAGAGGCAACATTCAAATTGCTAGACACATACAAGATAAATACAGAGAAGATAGAAGGCAAGCTCAGAGGAGAAGGCATTAGCAGCTGAAAAGGGCCAAAAGGCCTCTGAAGAAGAGGAGGATATTTATTAAAAATAAAACAAAAACACTAAAAAGGAAGCCCTTGATCTAAGTAAAGAATAATTTGAATGGGCTAGATATATTCTGGCATGGATTTTTAAAATGATGACAGTTAATAGATCTTCTAGGTCCTCTGCCAGGATGTTCCCCGGGTGTGCAAGCCTTTTCTACACAAACCAGAGAAGGTGGGATTTGAGCTGAGTCTTGAAGGAGGCCATGAAAACTAAGGGAATCAGAATTGAGACAGTTATAGCTTCAGCAAAGTTGCTGACTACAAAATAAATCCTCAAAAATCAATAACATTTCTATATAATAAGAACAAAACACTAGAAGCAACAATAGAAAGGGAAACCTCATTCTAAATAATTACAAAATGCATAAAATATGTGGGGACTAACTTCCCAAAGTACATAAAAGTCTTGTATAGTTTCGATTACAAAGCATTCCTTAAAGAAACAAAGAACAACCTAAATATTTGGAGGAATATTCAGTGCTCATGGCTAGGTTGTGTCAATGTAATAAAAATAACAATACTAACAAAATTAAGTTACACTTTTAATGCTATACCAATCACATTGCCAAAATGATATTTAACAGAACTTGATAAAATAACAACAAAATTCATTTGGAAAAACAAAACATCTAGAATATCAAGGGAAATGATGAAAGGCAGTAAGGACAAAGAAAGAATGGCACTTCCAGACCGTAAATTGCCTTACAGCACAGCAGTTATCAAAACTATCTGGTGTTGGCTAAAGAATAGAGATATTGTGGAACAGACTAGACAAGGAAGATTTAGAAACAATAGAATTCAATATCCCTGTTTTTGACAAAGTAGAAAACACTAGTTACCTAGGGGGACAACTCCTTATTTAGTTTTTTTTAAAAACTGTTGGGAAAACTGGAAAGCAGTCTTGCAGAAATTAGGCTTAGACCAACACTTCATACTACACACAACAATACATTCTGAATGGATAGATGACCTTAATATTAAAGATCATACTATTAAAAAAAATTAGAAGAGAAACAGATCATATACCTTTCTAAGCTATGGGTAAGAGATGTATTTTTAACCAAATAAGAGATAGAGGCAATTGCAAAAGATAAAATAGATAATTTTCTTTATTTCAAAATGAAAAACTTCTTCACAAACAACAATTAATTCTTCTGCGGTGAGAAGGAAAGTGGTTGAATGGGGAAAAAATCTTTGTATCAAATTTCTCTAATAAGGATTTGGTATCCAAGATATATAAACAAGTAATACACACACATACACACACACACACACACACAATTAGTAGCCATTCTCCAGTAGACAAATAGTCAAAGGATATGGAAAAAAACAGTTCTCAAAAGTATTCACAATCACATGAGAAGATGCTCCAAATCACTAATAATAAGAGAAACACAAATTAAAACCCCGAGGTTTCACCTCGCATCCTGCAAACTGGCAAAAATAACAGAAAATGCCAACAAGTCAATGTTGGAGGGGTTGTAGGAAGATCGGCATACTAATATATTGTTGGTGTAGCTGTGAAGTATTAGAACTGTTTTGGAAAACAATTTGGAATTATGTAAATAAAGTGTCCACACCCTTTGAACCAGAGATATACCCATGGAAGCCATTAATAAGAAAAAGATCCCCTCTAGTCCAAATTATGTATAGCAGGACTTTTTGTGACAGTTAAGAATCAGAAACAGGAATGGCTAAAAAAAATTGTGGTATATGAATATAATGGAATACTCCTCCGCTGTAAGAAATTATATGTGTGATGAATATAGAAATGCATGGAAAGCTGTATATGAATTGACAGAGTAAAGTAAGGGTAGCAAAAAATAGTAACTATAATGTATCAATACATTGCATGTGTTGATACATTTTAATGTATCAATCAGTTATGCTGACTTTTTTTCTTTTTAAAAAAACTATCTGTCATGTGGGATAGCTCTCAGAGAAAGGGAAGAGATAAATAAAATACTATGGTGATATGAGAAACAGAAAACATCAATAAAAATTTATTTCAAAAAAAGAATGCAATTGAGACATAAATGTTTGATGTGATACAGCATGTAACCAGTGTGAAACTTTCTAGAAGAGGAATAAAAAGATATTATCATGAAAGTTAATAATAGAAAGAAAATAATAATAAACAACATTTATAAAGTACTTTATGATTTGTGAAGTGCTTTACATGTGCATATACATAATACATAATGCTTTACATAATACATTCTATATATAGATATATGCATATGTGTAGATAAATATAAAATTTGATCTACAACAACCCTGTAAAGTAGGTGCTATTATTATCCCCAAATTGAGGCTGAGAGAGGTTAAATGACTTGGCCAGGGCTACACAACAAGTATTTGGGGGAGGATTTAAACTTGGGCCTTTCTGACTCTGCACTCTATTCTACTATGACACCTAGCTACCTAAAGAATATGGGCTGGTCACATGGCAATAGCAAGGGATGACAGGTATATAATATGAATTCTCCATTGGCATCCTCTTGATGTCAGGAGACATTAAGGAAGGCCTCTAGCACATTGAATAGAATTCTTTACCATGGTGAATTTATGAGAGGACATGGACAAGAATCATACAGGTTGGGCAGTCATATATTAGCTACTATCTGCATTGTTGGAATGTCCCAATTGATACAATTACAGAGCCATTTTTGGATATGAGAGATTTCTGATATCAAAATTAATAAGCAGATTCACTTTCAAATCTCCAAAGCAATTATAAGACATTTGATATATATGCATATATGTGTGTGTATATATGTGTATGTATGTGTGTATATATGTGGGTATACACACATTCACACACACACACACACACACACACACACACACATATAACTGCAGTTTCCCACAACACTTATGGAGTACAAGGGCCAGTTTGTGGGAAACCAGTAATAGCAACAGTCCAAAACAGATGGCCATCCTTAAACTTACAGAAAAAGCATTGTGTAATATTAATTACCCAACAAAGGAGCGTAATATCTGAGCTACCCACCAAGTGGCACTCTCCTTTAGTGACTAGCTAAAAGGGAAATCCCATTCTAAATAATTACAAAATGCATAAAATATCTGGGGACTAACCTTTCAAAGTATACAAAACACTTGTATAGATGCTGTTTCTTGTGTTTTGTTCTTATTACATGGAAATGTTATTGATTTTTGAGGATTTATGTAATATGTAATATGTATGGTACAGGCTCCTAAAAAGCGGAATTATTTACATTTGCCACCAGAGGGCACTGTTTGAAAATGATTATACTACTTCCCTCTTGCCAATATCATACAGCCCCAGGTGGCTGCTGCACTGATTTTATTTTGAATTTAAATCAGGGGATGATATAAATTACTGCTCAGAAATATTAAAAATGGGAAAATCTACAGATCTAGCATATGAAATCCCATCTCTTGGTGGATTCTTTGGAGGAGGGAGAGGAAGGAAGGGAGGGAGGAAGGAAGAGAGGAAGGGAGGAGGAACGGAGGAAGGAAGGGAGAGCTGACATGGTGGTGCATGCCAGTATTCACTATCACTGGGGAGGCTGAGGCTGTTGGATTGCTTGAGCTTGGGAGTTCTGAGCGAGCCCCTGGAAGTGAGGAACCACCAGGCTGGCCAAGGAGGGACAAGAAAACCTAGGTGAGAAAGGGCAGGTCAAAGCTTCTGAGCCCGTGAGTGGGTCCTGCATTTCCAGTGTGGGTGACATAGGGAGACTCAATCTCTCTCCCCTCCATAAAGAAATGTTAAGTGCTTTTATATGGATTCCTCTGCCTTCAACCAGCTCCAGAATCTCCTCCCATCCAGATATTTCAGAAATACCCCAGAACCATCCATTCCTGCAGCTTCAGTTGTCACTGGAAAGGTAAAGCAAGACAGGATACCATAGAGCGAAGGCAACCTCCATCACCCTAGAGTGGCAGGAAATGCTTCTACATGGGGGAACGACCATACAATGGGCTTCCGGTTACTCGCTCTGATTGTTCCGGACCACTCGCACCTGGCCTCGACAATGAAACCTATCGCGAGAGGGGAGGAAGAAAGGAAATCTCCACATCCTGGAGGCTGAGGCCCGGGGTTCTGGAGGGAACTCGCCCTCAACAAATTTTAGGAAAGGAGCGCTTGGAGTTCCGACGGATCTGGTTGCCCTACGGTATGTTTGTCGGTGCACTGCCTGGGGGCGGGCCTGCGCATGCTCAAATGGGAAAAGGCATGACTGGTTCGGCAGAGTTGACTGAGCCTGAAGCGGGACATTAAATCTTCATTCCTGCCCTGTGAGTAATACTGAGCACCGCTGTATATGTCTGTAGCTGAGAATTAAAAGAAGAGCACCTTCCAAACGATCGTTCATATTCCTGAGATCAGTCTCCAGCCCCTCTTCCTATTTAACTTTTGGGGAAACTGAGGCCCCTGAGAGGTCACATGGTGATTTGCTGGCATATCTGGGATGTGAAGCCTTTCTCATGATAGTGAGGTGGAATGAGCCCTGGGTCTGGAATCTTGCCTTCAACACTTAACCTTCTCCTAGCCGCTGTATACAAAGCAGTCACCCCCCACACACACACACACACTCCCTCAGTTTCCTTATCTGTAAATGGGGATAATAATAATATCTGTAGCACTTACCTCACTAACTTCTTGTGAGGATCAAACAAAATACTGTATGTAAAGCACTTTCTAAACTTTAGATCCCTACATAAATGTGTTTTATTCATTAATAAATGGGCTGTCTGAGGAAAGTACTCTCTAAATGCAGTATTATCACTGTTACGACTACTACTATTTCCACTACTGATATAAAAGAAAACTGATGGAAGCTTCTTTTCTGGAACAGATTGGGGGTGGGGGATATCTATGTGCTTTGTCATTCACTGACTCTTTCCCCTTCACCACCAACACCACCACCCTCCTGAAATAAAACAAAAGAAACCAAAACCCATCGTGTAATGTATTAAGTGCTGAGTAGCTACCTACACCAAGATGTAGTTCACAAGTTTACTGTTTATTAAGGAACCGCCTCTGGCATGTTGGAACAATGTAGGAAAGGGAAGTCGGCAAGCCTAATGTAACTTTGGGATAAGGATTAGCTCTTTGGGCTGGGGCACAAAGCAGGGCTGGGTGAACTGTTGGACCATGAATTAACTCAGATTAGTTTATCCCCAAAAGAGTATTTCTCCTTATTGTAGGTCCACATGTAAACTGAGTAATCTCCCTAAAGATAGTGAGTCTGAAGTGGAAGGAAGGACTTAGATTTTGTCAGAGGAAGGCTCTCCCTGAGGGTGACTTCTTGGTTTTGTTTTCTGCTGATGTCATTTTGATAAAACTGAAAGACAAAGAATGGTAGTAATGGAGCCTTCAGTTGATACTGGGACAGGTTTTATGACTTCTTAGTCTTTAATTATTTAAAGATGCCCCAACCCCTCCCTACCCAAAGCAATCCCAGTCACTCTGGTTCCTAATCCATTGTCCCTTTGCCTTCAAATCAACTTAGGAGCACTGAAAGAATACAAAGTACTTTGACACTCCCACTTTCTTCTTTGCCTTCCCCTTCCCTAAGCTAGTTTCTACTTTTACTATGAACAGCAACAGGAGAGAGGTCTAGAAATTTAAGTATGCAAATGGACAAAGAGTTAAATGCTCTAGACTGATAGAAGCAGTAATCAGAGAAAACCGTGAGAAAAGGGAAGGGGCAAGGAGATCCCTCCACGCCAGGTTAAGAGATTTGGACTGCAGAAGTTACCTATTTTCTTCCGACAGGTTTCCAATGACCAGACTGGACCTGATTTTCTGAATAGAACAGGGAGCAAAGCCATGGAATCGTGAAAAGAGGGATGTGGACAGGAGTTTCCACTCAGGTGATGCTCCGAGAGCCTACATCATATTCCCTTTGGGTATTCCTACCCCTCATCCTGTGCCACAACCTCTGCCTCCTCAGAGATTCCTCAGCTCTGATGACCTTTAACTTCCCATCTCACCTACAAGTCTTCATTTGCTCAGAATAAACAATATATGGGGGCAGCTAGGTGGCAAAGTGGATAGAGCACCGACCTTGGAGTCAGGAGAACCTGAGTTCAAATCCGGCTTCAGACACATAACACTTAACTAGCTGTGTGACCCTGGGCAAGTCACTTAAACCCATTGCCTAGCAAAAAAGAAGAATAAACAATACATGGCTTTTTATTCCTTCAGCAAATTCATTATTGAATGAATACTTTGTATGTAGAACTGTTGGACCTCATTGTAAGCATATAATGAAATTGGTGGGTAAATTATAGATAAAATCTCATTTGAGCCTCACAAAATCTGAGGTAGGTTTTATTATCCCCGTTTTATATGAGATAACTGAGACTGAGAACCCTTAAGTAATTTGCCCAGGGTGACACAGCTAAGTGTCAGAAATAGAACTTGAACCCTGGTCTAACTAACTCCAAAAACAACATTCTAATGGCTGTCACCCACAATCACTGCCATTAAGGAGCTTAACAGAACAGCAAAATTTTAAATCCTTAAAAAGAAGTTTGGGCAACAAACACTGTGCCACAGAGGAGAAAAAGTTCACTCTAGCCTCAAGTGGGAAGGCCTTTTGTGGAAGAAGTGAAACTTACTAGTCAATGGAAAGAACCCTGCATTGGGAGTCAGAGAACTCAAGTTTGAATGTGACCTTTTCTATTTACTACTAGTGTCATGCTGGGCAAGTCAGTTAACCCTTCTCAGCCTCATATTCCTCACCTGTAACATGAGAGAATTGGACTAGATGACCTCTGAAGGCTTGCTTTAAAGTCACAATGAGTTGGGCCTTGAAAGATCAATAGGGTGAACAGAGGAGAGGATTCTAAACAGAAGGAACAATTAGCAGTGTTTTGTGGAATATCAGCACCTTACAGGACCTTCAAGATAGAGTCCAACCATCTCATTTTACTGAGAAGGAAATGGAGGTCCAGATAAGGCACCATGGCCAGCAAGTAGCAAAGCCAGGACAGAATTCCAGTTTCCTGGCTCTAGCTTAAGCCTCTTTTCAGGATAGAGGAAGGAGTGAGCAGGGTGTATTCCAAGCCAGTGCACAGACCACCCTCTGAAGCACAGGATTAATATTAGGGAAAGCTGACTAGATTATTAATAGCTAGTTATTTTTCATATATAGGGGGAGGGATAAGAGAACAAAGATTTATTAAGTGCCTACTATGTGCCATGCACTCTAAGCACCTTACAGATATCTCATTTTATATGTATGTGGTTCTGTCTACTTCCCATTGGGCCCAAGGAGGGAATAGGCCCAGATTGTTTTGTCTCTTTCTATAGGAACTAAAGACAAGAAAGAAGAGAAAATTCCAATGGGAGAAGGACTTCCAGAAAAGGGATCTGATTGGATATTCTCTGGGGTTTATCCTGGGAATGAGGAATCTTACATGTTGCCTTCAATTGGGTTAGCCAAAGTCTGCTCCCAAAGTCCTGAAGCTGGGGAACCTCAAGGGGTTCTCTTAGATCAGACTGATAGGGCTATTTTGGAGAAGAGATGGAACCAAACCACTTCTTGGGAAAAACAGCTGAAACCTTTTCTCCTCAGCCCCTTTCCACAAGCATCCTTTCCCCAGGGAACTCCCTATCATTGTGCTGACTGTGGGAAAAGTTTTTGCCTGAAGTCCAACCTTCTGACCCACCAACAAACCCACACTGGAAGGAGACTATATCAATGTCCTCAGTGTGGGGACAGCTTTGGAGACTACACCAGTCTGTCCACCCATCAGAAAGATCACAGTGGGGAAAGGTCTCACATCTGCCCAGAGTGTGGAAAATCCTTCAATGATGCTACCAATCTCAACACTCACCTTAGAGTTCACACAGGGGAGAAGCCCTATCACTGCCCTGTGTGTGGGAAAAGCTTTAGCCAGAGCTCTGGTCTTATCCGACACCAAAGAACCCACACTGGTGAAAAGCCTTATACATGTCCTGAGTGTGGCAAAGGGTTCCAGCAGAGCTCAGATCTTGTGGAACACCATCGTACTCACACTGGTGAGAAGCCTTATACCTGTGGAGACTGTGGCCAGAGCTTTGCCAGGCCCTCTAATCTGGTCCATCACCAGCGCACCCATGCTTCCAATCGGGTTTTCTGTTGTCTAGAATGTGGAAAGAGCTTCCAGCACAGCACCAGCTTGAGTCGCCACCGGAAAACTCATACTGGGGAAAAACCTTATAGATGTCCTGAATGTGGGGACAATTTCAGCCAGAGCTCCAACCTCCTAACCCATCAAAGAAGTCATACATTAGAGAAACCATACAAATGCCCAGACTGTGGAAGGAGTTTCAACAGGTCTTCCAACCTCCTCCAGCACCAACAGATCCACAGTCCAGACAAACCCTATAAATGCACATACTGTGAGAAGGCCTTTAACCGAAGCTCCAACCTCATCACCCATCAGGGTACCCACACAGGGGAGAAACCATATAAATGCCTGCAGTGTGGGAAAGGCTTCAGATCTGGTTCCAACTTGATTCAGCATCATGAAACCCACATGGGAAGCAAATCCTAAAAAGACCTAGGAAGAAATGGGCAGCAGCAGGGAAGGTGGGGGTGGGAGGGGTTGAGGGAAATGTTTGTGCTGCCAAAGAAAAATCTATATTATGCTTAAATGAACCAGCAATGAAAGTGGGAGAACCATTGCTGAAGGAAGGGAGATAGGCCTAAGAACTTGAGAGAATCCAAATCATTAGCTTACAGGAGCTTCAAGAAGTTTTGGGCAGAAGATATAAAAAATAAGGCCCAATTTCCACATCCTTTTCTCCCCTCTCTATTTCGATTCTCTTATCTAGAAGACTTTATTTGGCAGGTTCATTTGTGTGAAAATGAAATGAGAGGACATAGAGCTGTGCTGCCATTTTGCTTGTGTCAGCAGGAGGAGGAAGGGAGGCATAGAGTACCGTGGGGAACCATAGGGACTGGGTGCTAGTGGGATTGCTTCATTGAGAACAAAAAGCCTTGATCAAGGAGGCTGGATTATTGCCCAGTTATCCAAGACAATATGGGCTTGAGATGGGGGTGGCAACATAGACCCTTTTACTTCCAAAAGAGGTAGTTTTATGCACTGACCACAGTCTGACCTGGGGAAAGCTGCTTCTGAAAAGAGACAGAAGGGCTATTCTTAATCTTCCTACCGAGGAAGGCATCATCCAGGCCTTACCAGCAAGCTAGGTTGCCAATAGAAACAAAGAACTCCCACCTGTTCTCCTTAGGGCATTTACCCTTCATCTGAGACAAGCAGTTCTAACTCTAACCCCTAGGCTCTAGTGGTCCCTACTTCTTACAGAAAGGTTTTTTTACCTATTCTCTAAAAAGCAAAATCTTTCCTGATGACCTAGCATCAAAAACCAAAAATGCCAGAGTATTATAATAGCAGTTTAGTGCTAAAAGATTAGGAAAAGAAATGAGAATAGCAAATATCTGAACAAACTATTAAATGTGGTAGAGTAAGATAGAGAAGAGAAATTTATGGGGCTTCAGGAACAAACAAGTTGGGTTATACCAGGCTTGTAAAGTGGAGTCAAGAAGCAGACTCTGTGGCCAGCTATGTGCAAAGACTAGGTGATGCATATTTTATCCATCTTGCTGCCACAGTTCCCATGCAGTGCTTTCTCTCCACTTTCCTTTAGGCCTTCCATTGTAGTCCCCTCCTATTCCTCACCTCTTACCTCCTACTCTTCCAAAAAGTTTACAAGGTATGTAAGGATAGTAGTCACCATTCCTGGGGGGATATTTAGGGAACTATTCAAGTGGAAATGGAGGAGACGGAGACAAGAGATGGAATCAGGCATGGAAGACTGGGGGAGGCAGGGAGACCAAAAACCTGTCCTTCAGAGTAGGAAAAGTGAAAGCTCTTCTAAATGTCAAGACCAGAATTAGAGAGTAATGAAAAGTTGGCTTCAGCAACATAGAGGGAAAACAGGAATTGTAGTTAAAGGTGAGAAATGGCAAGGAGAGGACCAAAATATGTACCAGGAAGGCCTGATCCTGTCTGTTTCTAGACCACTCCATCTTCCTGGATCACACCAAGTTCTAGGCTTGCCCAGCCCCAAGGGACAAAGAGCTCTGTGGGTAAAAAAAGAAAAAAAAAGTTGTTTTTTTAGTGATTTATTGACCAAGATTGGAAATAATAGTATATTGTACTCAGGTCTGGAAACAGAACCACACATAGGTATTCTAGTTTCTGACTCTGCTTAAAATGCCCCCAAGGGTATTATATAATGTTATAGAAAGTACCTTGTCCCTACTACCAAGTTGGAGGGGTCTTAAGAAGTCTGGCCTCATTTCTCTCAAAAGGCCAGGCTGGTTCTGAGACCAACCACCCTAAAAATACAACTCAATTCCAGAATAGGTCTTAGGATTTTGGTCTCCTTAAAATCCTGATGACTCGCTAAAGCATTATCCTCTCTGAATCAGCACAGTTTCCTGTGAGGTAAATTGGACTATTAGTTCTAGTTAATAGGACAAGTAGTACAGTTCCCTGAATACTTTATAGCCACTGAAACAGATAAGGAATAAGACTTAAATGAAAGGTTTGTAAGCTAGTAGCTGGTGGTAACTAAATGGGAACATTTTAAGACAGTCTTTTTCTCACATTATTGGGTCTTGAGATCAAAACTACTTATATTCTCATTAGAAAATGAGCCTTGGGTACTTTAGGAGATATGAAATTGGAAGCTTTATTCAATTTATCAAATGTTAAGTGCCTACTATGTGCCTAGCACTGAGGAAAGGGGAGGCTATGATCCCTCACTTCTCAGGGAACTTACAGTTTTGAAGACAGATTGTAGATTGTGCTTATGTGAGTAACTCTGTGAACAGCTGCTCCTTAAATGCATCCCTGTACTGACCCCATCACAGAACTGTCTCACTGTCTCCTAGACAACTAAACTAACTGGGAAGTAGCCAGCAGGAAAGCAGACCAGAAGCTTAAGGCTCCAGGCTTGATTTAGGACTTCAACAGAGATCACCCTGATTTATCTCCGTTTTTTTTCCAGGGCAGCTGGCCTTCTCATGGTCCTACCTTCTAGAGATGAATTTTGTGGTTTTTCAGATGCAAAAACATCATCTAGAGCTTGACAATTGGCTCCTTAGATTTTTGCATCACCTTTCCTCATACCTGTAGCATGACTTTAAATGTCATAATGGATCCAAGAAAAAAAGCCCCTTTTTGTTCAAAAATCTATTAAGTGCTTAAAATGTGCAGTGTATGGGGGAAGATACATGGTATTAAGTATCCTAAGTAATTTTTCCAACTATCTTCAAGTACTTTATAATACAGGAGAGTAGATTTGACATATATATGTATATATGCATACACACATAGACATATACATACATACACTCACATACACATATATATAGGAACACAGTGCACTACAATAAAAAGTACTATGAAATCAGGGGAGAGAATAAATCACTTCTACCCAGGAGAGATCAGGTGGGGCTTTATGGAGGAGCTGGGCTTTGAAGAATGGGCTAGAAGTCAACAGACAAGAGATGGGAGAAGAAGGGCATTCCAGATATAAGGTACTATGTGAGGGGGAAAAAAAGGTTTCAAGAGAGAGGAAATGAGGGAAAGCAAGTACTCTACTTTGGGTGGAACACAAAATATGTTATGAGTAGTGTGAGATGACTGGAAAGGTAGAGAGAAGTATGATTGAATGCCATATTTGGTCCTTTTCCTTATGCATTGGGGAGGCATTGAAGATTTTGAGCATATGAGGGATGTCATAATAGTGCAGTAGGAAAATTAGGAAGACAATGAGAGAGGGAGGATACTATGTAGGAGGCAATTACAATACTCCAGGTCAGTAGGAATATTAAATAAGGAGAGGGCAGATGTAAGTGACATCACAATGGATAATGACAGTTACCTGTGGTGAAAATGTCACCACAATCAGGGCACACAAGCCTTTTCACTTAATATGGGTCTTCCAGTGGATGTGCAGATCACATATGTTAAACCAAGGAGGAGTCAAAAATGAGTACAGGTGACTACGTAATGTGTAGCAGCTTCCTGCGAGGGAATGGCTGTACCAGTGCTCAGGTGGTAATTACACTTATGCCTAGTCAAGAGAAATTTTATAAAAAGGGTAGGCAGGAAAGAAAAGATGAGAACAGTAAAGATGACAGTGAAATGTCAAACTAGTAGAATCTTAGAGACAGAAGAACTTCCATTCACTCGTACCCCCACACCACTCCTCAAACAAAAAAGTGCCTATTTCAGATGTCACATAGAAACAGGTCAATGTTTTTCAGGCACATAAAAAGTTAGATTCCTTCTCTAATTACCTCCTATTATTTAGATAACATGCAAATTAGAAAGTAACTACTCTAAGTTCAGAAGGTCCTGCAATAATACTGAATTCAGTTCCTGTTCATCTTCTAGCAGGTGCCACAACTTCCCTTAAGCCCTTTAACACCGCAGTCCTACGGTTCAACTCTCTGTTTCCCTGAAAAAACACCTTCACGATCTAAGCCAACACTGCATTCTTCTCCTCCCCCCTACCAGTTTATGACAGAGTGGCCAGGCTAATCCTCTGGTGTCTTCCGGGAAGACATTGTCCCCAAGTCTTCTCAGCATTAGAGTGATCTAGGTGCTTCTATCGCATCCTAATATTCAGGATATTCAGACTTTTGAACAGTACACCTACACCTTGGCTTTGACATCATGGACTTAATGAGGGTGCTGATAGTATACTCTTAAAACAAGTACAATCTAAATAGGATCATAGGGTCCACAGAGCTGGAAGGGATCTTATTAATTAGTGTAGCTCTCTCATTTTAGAGACAAGGAAACTGAGGCCCAGAGAAAGGATGTGGCTTACCCATAGTAATGATGCTGTGATAGAAAGGCTTTATTGCAAAGAGCTTATACTGCTAAAATCAGTCAAATGCTGCCAATTCTTGAGGCAGACCCAAACCCGTATTTCACAAACAGCCTAAATCTGTATCCCTACTATGATACAGATTCTTGAAGAGGAAAGGGAGACAATGAGATAACACCTAGTACATGGTAAGTGGTAAAGAAATATTAGAAGCAGCATGAAAAAACAAGAATATGGAAAATAAACTATAAGACAGTGCAAAAAGCTAATGGCACATGGGGCCAACGAAACCATACTACATCTCATTCGTGACCCAAATTGATTGTTGATTCCATTCGTCGCTACTGAGAGGAGACAACAAACAAACAAGAGAAGACTACGGAGAGAGTAAGCAGGGTTGTACCTAGGTGGTGATTCTAGATGGGAAAGAAATTTCCTAGAGATGGATCCTGACTAGAGTTTGAAAATGAATAGGAGCTATATGCTGCTGAAGATTTCCCTCCTTTAGCAGAGCCTGAAGGCTGCCTCCAACCAGTCCTTGTAGAGATTGGAAGGTTGACACCCCACCCATATTTCTTACACACAAAAAGCTTCTCTCTAGTGTGGATTTGACAGGGGATGACTAAGTTGGAGTTCTGACCAAAGCTTTCCCCCAACACAAGGAATAAGAAAAAAAGCTTATCAGTGTGGATACAACTCTGTGCTCTCTGAGCTATGTTCCCAGAAGCCCTATCAGCAAAAGTGGCAACTGTAGCCCTCCACTGTGGTTCCTTAAATGTTGAGCCAAATGAGAGAACAGAAAGCATTTCTACACTCTCCAATCTGGATTCTCTAATGGACAATGAGGACTGAGGTGGTGGTGAACATTTCACCACAATCAGGACTCATATAAGGGTTTTCACTTCTGAGGCTTCTTGTGTATAGTGGGTCCACAGCATTTTCCCACACTCATTATGGCCATATGGCCCTTTCCCCAGTGTGTGTTATCTGGGGTGATAGAAGAGAAGCTAGTCCTTCAAAAATATTTTTCTGCATATCCTACAATCATAAGGCTTGTCCTCCAACAAATTCTATGATGGCTGATAAACTGGTTTCTCTGACTAAAGTTATTGTCCAGGAGTCATTGTTGATAAGGCTTCTCATCTATATGGGTAACAAGGTTAGAGCTCTGCCTGAAGCTTTTCCCACACTCTAGATGTTTAGTTAAGTTAAATCAATAAGCTTTTATTAAGTAACATGACAGACATGGTGCTAAGCACTGGGGAAGCAAAGAAAGATAAAATGAAACAAAAACCCCAGTCCCTGATCTCAATAAGCTCACAATCTAATGGGGAGAGACAAAATGTAAGCAGCTATGTAAAAACAAGGTATAGACATGATAAATGAGGTATAATCAACAGAGGGAAGGAATTCCCTAGCATTAATAGGGGAATTAGGAAAAGCTTCTTGTAGAAAGTAGGATTTGGGCTGAGACTTGAAGAAAGCCAGGAGGATAGAGATGAGGGAGAGAATTCTAGGCACAGGGAATGGCTAGTGAAAATGCTCAGCTTGGAGAGGAACAGTAAGGAAGCTAGTCTCATTGTATCTGATCGTACCTTCCCAGGATCCTTTGCTTGGTCTTCACCTAGGTCACATCCACTAACACTTGGTGTCCCACAGGGCTTTGTCCTGGGCCTTCTTCCTCTATTTCACTTGGTGTTCTCATTAGCTCCTGTGGGTTTAATTATCATCTGCTGATGATTCTCAAATCAAGGAGATTATCCAGTCCTGACTGTTCTGATCTCCAGTGTTCTATTTATTAAACATCTTAAACTAGACGTCCTATAGACATCTTTAACTCAACATGTCCAAACCTAATTTGTTATGTTTTTCCCTAAACCCTCCACCTTTCCAAACTTTCCTATTACTCTCTTGGGTACCATCATCCTCTCAGTTACCCAGGCTTGCAACCTCCTCCCCCATAGCCAATCTGTTGTCAAGGTCAGTTGATTTTACTTTTGTAACATCTCTCCCATATGCTGCCTTCTCTCCTTCGACACTACTGCCACCCTAGTTCAGTCCCTCATCTCCTCGTGCCTGGACAACTGCAATAGCCTGCTGGTTGGTCTGACTGCCACAAGTATCTCTCCATTCTAGTGCATCTTCCACTCAGCTGTCAAAGGAATCTTCCAAAGCACACCAGACTATGTCACTATCATACTCAATAAATTCCAGTGGTTCCCTATCACCACCAGGATTAAGTATAAACTCCTCTGTCTGGCAATCAAAACCCTTCCTAACTTGCTTCCTCTTCTTTTCAAGTCTTCTTACACTCACCACTCCATCTCTCAACTCTGGGCATTTTTACAGTCTGTCATCCATGAATGGAATGTTCTCCCTGCTCATTTCTGCCTCCTAGCTTCCCTGCCTTCCTTCTAGTGCCAGTTAGAATCCCATGTTCTACAGAAAGCCTTTCCTAATACCTCTTAATTCCAGTGCCTCCCCCCGACGTTGTTGTTCAGTCATTTTCAATCTTCAGTCACAAGTCTTCATGACCCCATTTGGGGTTTTCTTGGCAAAGGCCCTGGAATGGTTTGCCATTTCCTTCTCCAGCTCATTTTACAGATGAGAAAACTGAGGCAAACAGGTGACTTACTCAGGGTCACACAGCTGGTAAGCATCTGAAGCCTAATTTGAACCCAGGAAGATAAGTCTTTTTGACTCCAGGCCTGCACTCTATCCGAGGCACCACAGAACTGCCCCTCTGTTAATTGGGAATGGGCAGAACAGAACATGTAGACTTCCCTTCTACCTTCCCCAGTGACCACGTGATTCATGCTCTGGGTTTTATCTTTGGATTATTAGGATTGTATTATTAATATTGTTTCCCTCCAGTACAGTGACTGGCCACATTAAAGAGATTTAATATATGTGTCTTCAGCATTTCACCCCTGCTAACCCAACTATACAAGCCCCTCCCAAAAGGCTAACAAGGTTAAATGGCATTAGTGAAACACCTAGAAATGAAAGGAACTGTATACAGGTGTATAGCTTCCGAGGTTTCATTTTCTCTTCCTTTTCCCTTAAAAGACACTCCTTGTCAGCTATTCGTGCTTTCCATGTGGCTGAGGAAAAGAAGCAGAGTGGGAGAAGAGGGTCTGGGGAAGGTAGCCACTGTAGGCTGCTGCTGCTACCGCCACCACCACTGAGCCCCTGCCAACTGAGGTGGGAGCAGAAAAGACAGAGTGAGGACAAATGCTGGAGAATTGTGGTGATCAGTTAGAGACAGAGGGAGCCTATGCCTGTAGCTGCCGTGAAACGTAAGCAGCTGGGAAAATTGGGTTGGGAGAGCAACCCCATCCCCGTGTTTTTTCCCACTTTTCTGTTTGTGGAGGTAATCCTGGCAGGTTCTAGACAACGCATTTCCCTTAATCTTTCCCATAATCTACAGGCTGAGAAGAGGTTGGTGGTTGGAGGGGAAAATAATTGGGTAAAACATTCTATAAGAGGACAAGATTGCATAGTTGATGACAGTTTTACTGCTCTGATTTAGTAAATCATGTGACCAGTGTTAATTGCCAGTGTAATGTAAAACTAGAGAGTCAGTGGGATTGAATAAAATTTCCCAGACATGGAGTGTAGGTGGTGGTGAGGGCCCAGTCCTGGAAACATGAGTAGGGTCTATTTCTGGAAGTTCAAGATGACATTTCAGAACATGTAGCAGACACCCTGCAACTGTTCCCTGTCTGCTTACTGCACTGATGAAGAAAAGGCTTCTTGGTTGGCTGCTGAATCAGAATGGAGTTCAAATAAAAAGACATCATCTCACCAAAGTGGCCTCTTTCCTGGAAGTGATTGAGACTTAGGAATACTGTAAACCTCTGGGTGAGGAGTGAGAGGTAAGCCAGCTACCTCCTCTCCTGCTCCTACTCAGGCAGATACATGGCCATGAGTATATGTGGCTGGTATTCTATCTGTTGTATCTATTATTTCCTATCCTTAGTTGAAAAAGTATTGGAGATGACTGCAATGTTATGAGCCTTTAAAGAGCAAGCCCAGAGTTTGCTGACAGCCAATCCTCCTGGCACAACAGTGCAACTCTAAGGACTGACATTTTTTTTACACGGCACTTGGCACATAGTGCACATAATTGCTTAATAAATGTTTCCTGACTGGATCACAGAGTACATTGAGGTGAGTAAGGTGGGAGAAAACTGGAAGTGTAGGAAGGAGTAGATTTTTTTTTGAACTTACAACAGTAGATCAACACAGTAGTTTGGAGGCTTTGTCCTGGAGCAAGAGAGAAGCTGCATTCAGAAGTGAATTTGGTGGGATGAATGTTTGGTAACAACCACATTAGAAAGATTTCCCTTGCCTGGCTCCTCAGAGGCACCCCTAGAACCCTGAGGGGGAGATATAGTCACCTGATTTGCCAGTGCTAGTGGAAGTTGGGAATAAGGACTCCCAAAGTCTTGTTTATTGAGGGAGGAGTGAAGGGTATCAATACCATTGACTAGCACCCACTCTCAGTTTAATTAATATCAATTAGCTTTTACAAAAGGATATTTACTGAAAAGTTACAACAGTCCACCTCCTAAAAGAGAAGTGATGAGCCACAGTGTAAATTGCTACTGAAGGCGGCCTGGAAAAGAAAGTTCTACTTCGATTTCAGCAAAACATTTGGTAGTCTCTTGTTAGCTTTTCAGACCAGATGAAAAAATGTCAGTTATATGATGATGTTATTAGTGAATTAGTTACTAGGTGACATCTTTGTCAGATGACATGGAACTAAAGCTGGGAAGGATAGTTAGGATACATACAAAATGGGGGAAAAAATGGAAAAATGGGGAAAAAAAAGACCACTAATGTATTTTTCTTAATGCACAGAAAAAAAAAACCAGAAGCATAGACAAGCAGGAAAGTTTTGAAAGTAACAGAATTTATTACATGTTTTTTAAAAGCAGTATGGAATAAAGATTCAAGGTTTCATATAGGATCCTCTTTTCTGTGTGTATTAAAATGGTCTTTTTGGGGAGCATTTAAGTTTAGATCTTTTTTTTTTTAAAGATTGGAAAACAGAAGCAAGATCCCAGAAGATCTAGATAGATAAGAGTAATGAGCTAATTCCATCTCATGAGATAAAATTTAATAGCTACAGATGTAAAGATGGATTCAGAAATTAACAGATACAGGCCTTGGGCTATGGCTAGACGATAGTTTCTGTGAAAAAAGATCTGGAGACTTCAGCAAATGCAAGCTCATTGAGTCAGGAGACATGGCAAACAAGCCACTATAGTATTCAGGATATGGGGAGGTGACAGTTTCCTTTTGTATTTGGTTACATTTAGAAGTAGCTCAGTGGTACAGTGGATAGAGTGCTAGGCCTAGAGTCAGGAAGACCTAAACTCAGACACTGTGTCACCCTGGGCAAGTCACTTATCCCTATTTGCCTCAGTTTCCTCATCTGTAAAATGAGCTGGAAAAGGAAATGGCAAACCATTCCAGAATCTTTACCAAGAAAACCCCAGATGACTGAACAACATGTTGAGGATGGTGTTCAGTTCTGAGAGCCACATTTTAGAAAGGGCCTGGACAAGCTGGAACCCAACCAGAAGAGGGTGATCAGAACGGTAAGACTAGAGACCATGCCACGTGAGGACTAGTTAACAGAGCTTGGAGAAGACATCAGGGTGACAGTTCATTTTAACAAATATTTGTAGTGCCTCTATGATGTTAAAGGCATTTCTCTAGTCACTATACCAAAATGACACTCCTTACCGCAGTTCTTCTAAGAATCTGTACTATCTTTGAGGACCTAAAGGGCTGTCATGTGGGAACAGGAATTAGACTTTTTTTGCTTGGACTCAGATGACAGAACTGAAAGGAAAAGACTGAAGTGGAAGAGAAACAATTTTAGGCTTGATATGAGGGGAAAAATACCAACAATTATAAGTGTCCACAAATTGAATGGACTGCCTTGGAAGCTAGTAGATTCCCTCAGGGCAGATCTCCCAGCTGTGGCTGGATGCCCAACTGTCAGTGACAGTGTGGTGGGCCTTCTTGGTCAGGTATGGGTTGGACCAGATAGAAGACCTGAAGTCCATTACAACTGTCTGATTTTGTTGTAAATGTCCAGCCTGTGTTGGGATACATGAGCCTCATAAATGATACAACAGAAAGTTTTCTCCTTTGTGACTTCCTCTGTATAAGAATTCCTGTGGCTAAACCTACCTAGATATCCTGAATTGACTAAGACCAGCCCTGGGGAGCTAGCTGGCTGTTTCCCCAGGACCTGAAAAAACTAGATAAAGATCAGTTGGGAGAGCTAGGTGGCTGTTAGGCAGTTTGGAAATGAAAGGCTCCCTATATACACAGTCTTCCCTACCTGGCAGGTAGAGTTGGCTTACATTGTGAAAGTTTATGCTGAAAATACAAAGTGAGGTCTCTAGTTCTTAGTACTGTTTGTCCCCTGTCCTTCACGAACTAGCCAAATATTTGTCAAGACTTAGTTACAAAGGTAGCAGAGTTGGGTATAGATGTGGATTCCCTAGGAGTGTATATCCTGGGTTAAAGATAAGAAAGTTTTAAGGGAATTAAAAAAAAAAGAGCAGCCGTGGAAGGGATTAAGAAGATAAAAGCATTTATCCAGCTCTTACTAAGTACTGGGCATATGCTAAGCACTGGGACTACAAATAAAGACCAGAAGAGCAGTCCTTTTCCTCAGGGAGAGTTTAATTTCCCGAGCAGCTAGGTGCAGTAGATAGAGCATCGGGCCCTGGATTCAGAAGGACCTGAGTTCAAATTCAGCCTCAGACACATAACACTTACTAGCTGTGTGACCCTGGGCAAGTCACTTAACCCCCATTGCCCAACCAAAAAAAAAAAAGAGTTTAATTTCTATAGGGAAAGATAACATGTGAAGGGGAGCTAGAAAGGTATGTGTATAGAGGCAGGGTAGGGGTGAATACATGGCAAGATTTGGAGGTAGCCTGTAAGAGACTCTGGAATCCTGGTTTTTGGCAAGATAAGATAAAAACTCACCTATCAGAGGTTAAAAGAGAGGGTAAGACTTGATTCTTTTTTTACTCGGTAGGTCTCATTTTGACTTAAGGCATTCTCTCTTTCCAGTCCTCCACCCCATGATTTAGGTATAAAATTTACTTTAGAGAAATTATAGAAGGCATTTTTTTGTTTAATAAGAGTAAATCAGTGTCCTTATTTGACATGTGAGTTTACAGTATCCAAGACATGCAATTCCCTCTTGTGATTTCTTAAATTATGGAAGACTTTGAATTCGATGTACCCTGGTGAGAGCTCAAAAGCAAGGAAAGTCTAGGAAGATCCTACTTCTTAAGCTCCAAATTCTAATGAAATAGTGACTGTTTTCTGCCATTTCCTTCATGTCTAGAAGACATGAAGTATTGTAGTGATCAAATAGTGTAGCACCTGAATCATTCCTTCTAGAAGAACAATGTGAAGAATGTGAAGTGTCTCATTAATCTTCAGGTTAGATTGGTTTCTAGTTTGATCTCAGGGGGTGGGGATGGGAGGGAAACTTGCTTAGAATCAGTCTCCTGTTCATCCGATCCTCAGTCTGGCTACCTTTTTGTTTCTCTGCTTCCTCCCTGAGGTTGTTTCCTGTTGTGCTTCTTTTTCCACAAGTTTAAAATGAGAATAATGGGAAGTGGCTTGCTATCTAGACCAAGGGAGAGGTTCCCTCCAAACAAGGTGAAGCCAATGGAGATGGGTCTTGAAGATATGATAGAAAAACAGTCCCAACCAGGGCTCCTGAAAACATTAATCAAGTGATAAGGTTTTAACTTTCCAAAGATCTTTCTAAGCAATTAAATAGTACAAAGGGGACCTTCTTATTCCAGTTCTTGTGTGTCATCTTCTCAGAGAACTCCCTGAGGAAGAGCAAAGGTTAGAAGGACCCTGATCCCTAGGATCCCAAGAAAAGTCCATAAGAGGCAGCCATACCAATATCTTCCTACCTCTGAGTACTGTTCCTAGAGGAGTGATTCTGAGGATGTAGGTTGTAGGCCAGTAGGAGACGTATCGGATCCTACAGAGGAGGAGGGAGTGGAGAAGCCCCAGCAATTAGTCTGGATGAAAACAGCAACATCCAATGCCTCCACACCTTAAAAAGGTAGATGATTTTCCTGAGTTGTCATGGCCAAAAACCAAAATTTTAAAAACCACTACCTGGTACACAACCTTTTGATAATTCAATTTAAGTAAACAAATATTTATCAAACACCTACTATGTACTTGGCATGATGCCTGTACTCTGATAACAGATACTCTTTTCTTGGGCCAAAATAAAATCTTTAGAATTTGGTAGGACCTACTAGAGCTTGCACTTGTCCACTGACACTGCCTTCCAGAACCCAGATGTACCTCCTTACTATAATGAGGCATTGGACTCATAAGACTGTAATGAAAGATGGTACCATAGAGTAATATTTTTGTTCATTTTTGAGAGAATTTGGGTAGTATAAAAGTCTACTAAAAATTCTAGCTGGAGGTGACAGGCAAAGACTCTTAGGTACACAGAGATATACAGACAGTTTCCAGCTTTGGAAGTCCTATAACCATAATAATGATTTTGAAATGTAAGATACATGAAAACAAAATTAGGCACAAAAAGGAACATGATTTAATTTTTTTTTAATATAACAAATGCTTTTCTAGCCTTTTTCTGTGAAAATTTACACAACTGAGTTTAAACTCTAGCTTTGCAGTATTACATTTAACCACTGAAGGATGATAATTATTTGCCTTGTGAATTTGAGGCCCATATCCTTAGGAAATAAGATTACCAACCTAAAAACCTTAGAGGTCCAGGCACCTTCCAGAAACTTTCTCTTGAGAAGGCACCACTTATTCGGATGAGGTTTTACTTTAGAAGCCTGCCCTATATTTTTTTTTTGTTACAAGATTCACCTTGGCCTCTTAATCCACAGATAGAGCGACTCCTTTAAAATAGCCTCAGAGTATCTTATAAACATGGTAGTTTTCTCTTCTACTATATCATTCCTTCACTAGATCAGTCTCAAATAAATGGGAGCTATACCAACTATCCTACAAGACCTAGTTCAAATGCCACCAGCTCCTAAAAGTCTTCCCTAATCTCTACCTTCCCCTAGTCAAAAATGATCTATCTTTCCCTAGACTTCCCTTAGCCCACTAACCATAGGTAGGTCTCAGGGTTCTGTCCTGAGCCTTCTTCTCTTCTTCACTTGGTGATTTCATCAGCTCCCATGGATTTAATTACCATCTCTATGCTGATGATTCTCAAGTCTATCTATCCTGCCCCAGTCTCTCTGATCTCCACTCTCACATCTCCAACTGCCTTTCAGACATCTCAAAATGCATGTCCAGAAGACATCTTAGGCTCAACATATCTAAAACAGAACTCATTATCCTAAACTTTCCCTATTACTGTAGAGGGCAATACAATTCCTCCCAGTCCCTCAGGCTCACAATCTTAGATGCTTCACTATACCCCACCTCCATAGCCAAGGGGTCCCAAGGCCAATCTATATCACCTTTGCAACACCTCTCAACTATGTTCCCCTCTCTCCTCTGACACTGCCACCACTCTAGTGCAGGTCCTCATCACCTTATGCCTGGATTATTGCAATAGCCTGATGATGGGTCTGCCTGGCTCAGGTCTTTTCCTGTTCCAAACCATTCTCCATTCAGCCACTAAAGTAATCTTTCTAAAGCTCAGGTCCAACCACGTCAATCCCCTACTCAGTAAACTCCAGTGACTTCCTATTACCTCTAGGAGCAAGTAGAAAATGCTCTGGTTGGCATTCAAAGTCCTTCCTACCCTAGTCCCCTCGTATCTTTCTTTCCAGCCTTCTTACACCTTACTCCCTGAAACATCTTCCTGTATCCACTGACACTGGCCTCCTGACTGTTCCATGAATAAGACACCCCATCTCTCATCTCTGGGTTTTCTATCTGTCCTCCATGCCTGGAACACTCTTCCCTCCTTTACTCAGACAACTGACCTTACTGGCTTTCTTTAAGTTCCAACTAAAATCCCCACCTTGTACATTACAGGAAGCCTTCCAAATTCTTCAATTCCAGGGCCTTCCCTCTATTGATTATTTCCTATTTATCTTGTATATAGCTTCCTCTTTATTCATTTGTTTGTTTGCATGTTGTCTCCTCCATTAGACTGTAAGCTTCTTGAGGGCAGGAGCTGTCTTTTGCCTCTTTTTGTATTGCCAGTGCTTAGCATAGTACCTGGCATGTGGTAAGAGTTTAAAAAATGTTTAATGATTGAGTGATCAACGTATTCTATTCCGCATTATAGTTTTTGTGTACATTTCTTCTTTCTTCTGTCCTACTAGACTGTAACCCTTTGAGGAAAGGACTGTGCTTTAACTCTGTACCTAACTCTCATAGTGCCAAATAAGAACTTTACATCATAAATACTTAATGTTGGTAAAATTCAAAGATTGTGCTCAGAAATGTATCCCCACGAACATTCAGCTCAAATGATTTATTTTGTTTCTCCTATCTCTATCCCCTTAAATTTCTCTCATGATTCTTTCCTCCCCAACCCTCTAATTGAAGAATTTTTCACATTTTCTTTTTTGTAAAACAGATATAAGCAGATTCATGCTCTTCTTTATAATCATTTCTTGTTTGAAACACTACCCACACCATGCTTTAAGACTGGAGCCTTAAGACTTAAAAGATCACACTGCCTAACATTCATCGTCTTAGTAAATACATGCATTGAAAATACATATCCAAATATGTATTATACTTATGCCAACACACAATTAGAAATAACACCCTAACTTTTATTCTGCATAACCTTTCCCTCTGTATAACGGTTATTCTGGTTGTCATTAAATGCCACCTAACAAATTAAAATCTTAAAAATATAAATTCAATGACAAATGCTATTCTTCATGGCCCATGTTACATTTGATTTTAATAGTAGCCAATGCAAAAAATTCAGACTGGCATGAATCTGGAACTGAAAGCAATTATCACGTCTTTCCATTGTTCTGGTATCCACATCCATAAAACTGAATTCCAGTTATTTATTATCGTACTTAAAAACATTATTCCTTTGCATTTTCTGCAATACAACTTTTTATTTGCTGATGTCTTTCTTCTGTGCCTAAAAAATTTGATACATGTTCAATTTTGGAAATAATGTAACACATCACTGTAAGATTCAATATGATATCCCAAAGCATACCTTCTCTTTCTGCTGTATTTATTTTTCAGTCTTTTTTCTCAGAACTTCTGCAAATGCTTACGGCAATTTTAAGTAACTTTTTGGGTGCCTCATACACCACCACCTCCATACTGATAGCCATTGCTCTGTTAGTTTAGCCTTTATAAATCTATTTTAGAGAGAAGTAAAGAGCTTGATACTTTATACAGATTTGCAAAGACCATTAAGACTATTCTATCTCTTTTTTACATACTTATTGCTACTAACAAATACATCTATCTGGAAGATACAAATCTAAAGTTTGAGACCTGAAATCAAATGTCTTTGATAGTTAAAGGAATTTTTAGACTAATTGAGCCATGGAGTTGGGCAATGATTTTCCTTAATCTTTCTAAGGAAAGGAATCTATGGGGAACCCCATAAGATCAGGGACGCATGTGGCACAGTGCAAGGAAGAAGACTTTTATGAATTTCAAATCAATGTCTTAAATAATATGTTACTTTAGGTTTTATTTTACAATTTAATGAAAAAAAATTATATTTCCAATTTAGTAATTTTTAAATGGCTAATTTTTTCCCACCCTTTTCCCTGCTAAATCCTCTCTGCTCCCAGCATAAGAGATAATACATGTCCGCTAAGAATCTGCTTAAGAGAATACAAAATTCCTATTTCTAAAAACATTTTAAATAGTGGTAGACTATAAGAAGTTTTAGACTTCATTTAGGCTTGATTCTTACTGAGTCAAGAGAGAAAATCCTACAAAGTGAAATGATCTGTGACTCGGGTGAGGATGGATGATCTGCAAAAGCTGTGGAGGGATCCCATTACTGTGAGGCCGCTTGTGCTTGTTGAGGTTGGACCACTGACGGAAGCTCGGCCACACTCCCAGCGAGGGTAGGATTCCTCTCTGGGGTGCACACGCTGGTGGGTGAGCAGATCAGAGCTTCTGCTAAAGCTCTTCCCACACTCAAGGCAAGGGTATTGAGCACTCCCCGATGCCATTCCCATAAATGTCACAGCTGTAGGGTTTCTCCCCATTGTGGTTCCTCCAGTGTTGAGCCAGATAGTAGCTGGCACTGAAGCCTTTGGCACACGCATCACAGAGACAGGGTCGCTCTCCAGTGTGGATGACAAAGGGCAGAGCCGTTGCTGAAACTTTCACCACAGTCAGGACACACATGGCCTCTCTCCTGTATGGGTCCTCTTGCGTATGTTCAGTGCACTGTGATCTCTAAATATTTTCCCACATTCATCACAGGCATATGGCTTTTCTCCAGTATGGAGTCTGTGGTGTCTAACATGCTGGGCCTTCTGACTGAAGTTCTCATTACCCACAGGGCATGGATAGGACTTTTCCCCTAAGAGGGTTCTCCAGTGGGTAATGAGGTTAGAGCTCTGACTAAAACTTTTCCCACATTCAGGACTCCATTGTATGGGTCCTGTCATGCCTGCTTAAGGCTGAACACTGGCCAAAACTTCTGCCACACTGACTGCATTGGTAAGATTTCTTTCTCTACAGTATGGTTCTGCATGACAGATGAGGTGTGAGCTCTGGCAGAGGCTGATGCCACACACCTCATGAAGAGGGCTTCTCACCTCAATGGATTCTCAGGTGATTGTAAAAGCTGGAGCTCTTCCTGAAGCTCTCCCACAGTTGTCGCAGTCATAGGGTTCCCTGTGGGGCCTCTGGCTTTTCCCCAGCCTTTTTGCTCCCAGTAGGGCAATACACCACTTCTCTTTCTCAGGAGTTACAGTAACCTTTATAGAACTTCCCTTTCTTTTGTGTCTTTGATACTGATCCTCATGGCTTTCCCCTTTTTCAGAGGGGATCTCTTCTTTTGTCTAGGCTGAGGGCATCCCTTTAGATTCCCCACTGGCAAGCCCTTCACCTCCACTTACACCTTTAATTTCTGTAGAAAGAAAAAAA